TTTTTTTTTTTTTTTTTTATATATTTTTTTTTTCTGCTTTTGTAGGTGTGGTTCCAGAACAGGCGTATGAAGGACAAACGTCAGAGGCACTCCCTACCTTGGTCTCACCCACTCATCAACCCACTGGGCACATTGCTGATGGGTCATGCTTCTCCATCTTCTAACCTGATTTACCCGTTTTCTACATCCCAACTACCCCACCTACCTTTTCAGCACTATTCTCCACTGACTTTTTCTGGTATGATACATGGTCCACACAGTGCACTAATGAAGCAGCAAGAGCGTTTCTCCCTCTCCCAACAACACAACAAACCAGGGGAGGGGCCTCCACCAACAGTACTTGTTTATCCCTCTCCTGGCGTTATGCACCATCATGTCTCATGTCATTGCTCCTTTTGCCCTCAGTGGAGACAACATCTTCATAAGGTCCAGTGGGAAATGAAAGGACTGAGCCATGCCAACACCTCTGCAGCCAAAAAACAGACTGGTTCTCTGCAGCAGAGGGAAGAAAAGGTGTGAATGCATCTAAGAAAAACTACAACTGCAATAACCGAAAGAGAAGAAGCAAGGCAGAAGAAGTGTTGACATCAGAATCTAAAACAATCACAGTTAAAACCAGATACTTAATAACATTTTATTTAAAGACATTTGTTTTTTCCCCTCAATTTTTGACATCTTGTTTATGGTAGTTATGATTACCATTTTGTTTATATTTGTTAGATGACAGAATAATGATTGATTTTTTTTTAAATAATTGTACCTTTCTTCAGATTCAGAAGGTTACTAAGATTGTTCTTTTTACATTTCCTCTTCTCCTCTTTTTACTTTTCCTTATGGAGGCAGAGGAATGTGGTGTCTTAGGGGTTCAACTTCTGCCTATTGGTTATTTAGCATTACGCACGACTGACTTCAGCAAAGATGGCATTGACTGCCATCTTTGCTAAGCTTCAGTGAGCTGAAGTTTAGCAACTTCATTAGAGTTGCTTCAAGCAGAAGCCAATTTCAGCAGATGTTTCATCCAAACTATGAAAGCATTATTTCTATGTATTACATATATTTATATATTATAGCATTATTTTCTAATACATTTGCTAAGCTCCAGCTCACTGATAAGCTGGTCGCCGTCTTTGTTGATGGCTTCAGCATCTTTGAAGCCATCAGAATTGCTAGTGGCTTTAGCAATGCTGAAGCCATAATTAGAATTGCTGCTAATCACTCAACATGTTGGTCTATTGGTTGCTAACCAACCAATGGGCAAAAGATGAAGCCTTAAAACACCGCCCTCCTCATTTCCATAATGAGGCAGAAATGCGTAAACAAAAGTAAAAAAAAAAAAGAAAGGAGACAAGGAAATATAAAAAGAACAAACACTTGTGTGAGGAACAGACAAAGCAAAAATATTTATATCTCTTCGTTTATTTTTAATTATGCCAGTTTTAGTCCCCCATAATTATTCATGGTTTCCCAATATTACTAAAAGGCTGTTATTTTCCTACTAGCACTGTTGATTTACTCCTCTGTTTCTTGTCGCTGCACTGCAGACATGCCAGTCTGTCTCCTCCATTTATGGCTCCACATGATTAAAGCACATTATTATCATAGCTGTTCTGTGTCCTGCCATGCTAAGCTCTGTTCAGATGTGTATACCTGTATTTAACCTCACTGTGTATTGTCTGGCATGATTACACAGAGCACATGTAGAGCAGCTCCTGGTTTAACCAAGCATAGCAATGGCTGGTGTTGCGAACACCTGTGCAGGTGGATTAAATCAGTGTATGGTATTTATGGTGGAATATTCTGTTGGCCTCTAATCAGCAGAAAAGAGAGGACTCAGCTGGTTTCTTTTATAATTCTCATCCAGTCCAAGAGTTATCTCAGAAAAAGTTCAGAATATAATTTAAGCTACTTCTCAGATTTAAAATTAGACACAATCACATCTAGATCTCCGATTCTGACTCCGTAACATGGCACCTGGTTATGGGTTCTGTAATGGATGCATGCTGTTTTAGAAGAACCCATAAGTATGATGAGGCAAGATCATTAAGACTCTTAAAAGCCAGTTGTAAAATCAATCCTTTAACATACAGGAACCCAGTAGAGTGAAGCCAGAATTGAACAGGTTCCCATTTTTTATTTCTTGTTAACAGCAGCATTTTGTACAAGCTATTAGCAATGAAGAGATGTCTGATATAACCCCCCATAAATCAAATTGCAATAATCTAGGCAAGTTAATAAAACCAGAGATCAATCTTTTAATATCCTTAGGAAGAAAATCAGGCTTTACTTTGGCCAGAATTCATATCTAAAAATATTTTGTCTTCAATTAAATTATTTTCAACTCAGTTTTCAATTCAGTTCATTTCTATATCACCAATTCACAACTTATGCCATCTGGCTATTGCCTTCTTGTGCTGTTCTGCTTGATTAAAATCTCACTTTCTCCCATTTACAAGGATTGCCTCTAGTTCAATGTCGCCCGTACCACTCAGGAAACAAGAGCGAAAGTTGTGAACAAATTAGAATTGTAGTCTACCTGTAATTTTATAAATAGCAACAGAGAAAGTGAACAAAGCTATTCAGTTCCAAATTAGATAGAGTGCATTCACACCTGACTGTTAAACTTGATCAAAATTAAAAAGTGAACTCTTGTTCACCTAAAAATCTAGGTCTCGGTTCGGTTGAAGTGAACTCTGGTGCTGTTTGAATGCAGTGTTTGAATGCAGTTCGCTTGCATTCGCAAGCGAACTGAAGACTGCTTTGAAAACAGGAAGCTAACTATAGTGCTGGGCATTCTGGTCAATATATTACTCTATCCTTAGGGAGTTAGCGAAGATATTGTGTTGGTTGCCATGGAAATGGGTCTGTGTGTAGAATAAAGCTGACACAGAGAGCGAGGAAAATCAGAATTTAAAGTTGCTTACACCAGCTTATCAGAGTTATTTTCTCTTTCCTGTGGCACACTGCACCCGCTGTCATTTTAAAACCTTGAATAAACAACAAAAACTGGACTAATTTCTTTGTTTGTTTGTAGAACGTGGCGATATTAATAACAATTCATAAAATAGGATGAAATATTTCATAAAGCATTGGTTAAATTTTAGTAAAGTAATTTTAACAGTTTAACAGTTATACACCGCAAATAACTAGTTTAATTAACACAGCCATATTTGCATTATATACAATCAATCAATCAAATTTTATTTGAGTATCACATTTCAGTAACAAAGCATTTCAAAGTGCTTTACATTCATAAAAACACAAAGTCATGCAACATAGATACAAGCAATTACTGAAAACATATAATGTTTTCATCAACTGCTTGTTTTAATATCTGGGTCATAACCAAGATTTAAAAAAAAAAGTGGTACAAAGCTTGTAATACTGGTGTAAAAACTTTTGAATATAATATCTCGTGAGAAAAAATATATTACATAAATTAAAAATCATGATCAAAATTTATGTAAATATCTACTTTACAAACTGTATTATGTTTATTTGTTTATTTTGTTTTTAATATGGCAAAAGATTTGTGACTATCACTTTTGGGGTTTCAGATTTTGAGGCTGCACAGCAAAAATCAGTCAGATGACTCTATCAGGGCAGTTTGAATGTGTTATGCATTTGCCCAAGATGATAACCTGAGCTGTGGATTGTTGTACAAGCCTCCTCCTATGTGTCATGTAAGGAAAAGAACATCACACATAATCTGCCAAAAAAAAAGTCCAAACTTTCATTTGGCCATTCAAATATAATTCATTTCTATTGAATGTTTCCTTACAGTATACCAAAAAAGAAATAAAAAAAACCTTCTGTGTTAAACAGATTCAGCATTTTGTTTTCTCTATATGAAAACCATTCACAGCAGCTGGCAATTCGCTGAAACATTGCAAGTGTAGCAGAGAGTGAGGAATATTTAAAATCACTAGACATTGCCACAAATGCATTGTGTGGTTAGCAACAACTGAACTAATGATATCCTCTGCTATTGCACTGTCTTCAACAGCAGACGGTGGTCTCCTCTATCTTCTAGTATAGTCAGGAAGCTGGGAGACAGATGTCGAGGTTGGGAATAACCAACCTGTTTGTAAACAGAGTTCTCTCATCTCCTTCAGCAGAGCTGCAGCTCTCGATGCTTCATTCAGTGGTCTCTTCCTTGTTGCACTGTCAGTTTGTGAGGACACAAGTGCCACATTCTTTCTATTTTGTGATGATGAAGAGTTTTTTGTGTCAAAAATGCCAATTTTTAAAACGTATGAATATTTTTAGTGGCAGTTAAATGAGAAGCTGTTGTGATAGACCGGGAACAAAAGGCTACATGCTAATTATGAAATATTCCAATATTCGTTATGCAATTCAAACATCATCTGTGCAAATTTATGCTAAGAACATTATTGAACAAAAGACTTATTAAAGTGCTTAAAAAATTCTAAATCACAAATGGTATATGTAATAAAAATTCAAGCCTTATACATGAATTCCAGTCTCGCGTATTAAGATTATGGTGTCACAGCCCAGATGATTTTTGTTAAAACAAATACAGGTCGTATTTTTTATGCAGTTATAAGTTTATGTTACAGCCATGAAAGATTTATTTTAAGTCTTTATATATTTTATGAACGTCGGAATGCGTTGCTCCATGATGCAACATTTTACGATTTCTTTTTATCGCATTGCAGATAAAAAGATCTTCACAAAACAAAATGTAAATTATTGGTTCCTTGTTCGATTTGTGTAATAATGAGTTTACATCCACGACAGCTATTGTAGCCAGGTACTGTAACAAACTATAATTCCACAAAAGAAGCTAGCAATTCTGACATTATTGACGCTGACATGTCTGAACGCTGTGGGAATCTACACTCATAACCCCCCGCGATTTTAAAATCTGCTGCTTCAAAGTCATCCAGCGCTGTGTAATTCGTCATTTACCATTCTGTGATTCGTTTAGTATTTAACTTTTTCAGTAGGGAATTAAGCCATCTTTTCTGGGCTATTTCTCATGAACCAGTAAGAAACAACTTCATATAATCCACTCTAAATGTGGTGACACACCTCCAATAAATATCAGCAAGAGATCAATTCGAAGATATTTTGGTTTTACACAAAATGTACGAAATGGAAGTAGGAAGCTACTAAATGACCCGAAATCCCCAACATACAAATATTCTTGTTTTCTTCTTCTCAGACTGAATGTCCAGGTTTTAGCCAGTGTGTCCAGTCCAAACGGACTTGAACAAAGATGTTCAAACTCAAACTTGGTGTGGCTCCTTATTCAACATCAACAACTGCTAAGCCACATCCACACCTTTGAGCCGGGTCATGATTTCCTTCTTTCTTTCTTTCTTTCTTTCTTTCTTTCTTTCTTTCTTTCTTTCTTTCTTTCTTTCTTTCTTTCTTTCTTTCTTTCTTTCTTTCTTTCGTTTTTGACGCGTCTTTGTTCCGCCGCTCTTGTTTTGCCTGTAAATCCAAATTTTAGTATCTCCTTTGTCACTAAACCCTGTCATCACGATTCCCAAATTCCAGGATGCACAAGATCTTTTGCAAGTGTACCTGGGCTCCATCATCAATCTATACAGCAAAAACATGTTGTATAAATCATGTAAACATCTTGCAGGTTTGCGATTGAAAACGCGGGCAGCAGAGCAGTGGGGGTTCTGGCCGCTCCCCAAATGCCAGGGAGCTGATTCCGGTTAGGAAATGCCGGTCAACTATCTCAGTTGGTCAAAATGGTGTAATTACACAGGAGAAGTTCGATCGGTCTTAATGCAGAGCTGTCAGAGGCCCTGAACGTCTCTCCTCTCCAGCATTTACTTCGCTTCTGTTTCTCTAATTGTCCACTATTTTTTTTAACAGAAAGAAGAGCCATTTCATTTAGAATTTAAAATTTATTTATTTGGAAATAAAAACATTTTAAAAGCAGAGAAAAACAAAGATACTTAGCCTTTAGGGATTTTTTTTTTTTTACAATTCAAAGTGTATGTCACGGGGCCTTTGGGTCTAAATTTGAATTCACTTGTTTCAGGTAAACTGTGTAGCTATTTTATATGAAAAAGAGCAACAAAATACAAACTAGCAAAAAAAGTGAGGGTAAAAAACACCAAAACCATCCAGAACAGCAAAAACTGAATGAGTGACGTTGCCTGGGCAAGAGATGTAGCTTGAAGAGCAGACAAAGCCTAAAAGTCACAAAATATCTTTACTTTATTTGTCTTAAGAATATGCAAGATATCTTATATGTAAATGTTAACTTTTCGAAACTCTTCCATATTAACCTGATGTTGAATCCCATGCTGGAATTTGTGTTGTGAAACTCGGATCAGTTGGAATGCGTTCATGAATGATTTGACGAGACTTGTGAAATGGCTCTACTTAAAATTAATTGAATTGAATTGTTTTGTACACTTCATGTTTGATTTGAATAACTGTAAGAAACGGAACAAAATGTATCAAAGCAAAATAATTCTACAACGAAATGATACATTAGCAGCTGATTTAAGTCATGCTGTGGGGTTTACAGTTCTCCTTTACTCTTATACAGACTATTTTTGGCAATTACACACTTAACCCAAAACAATTCACACTGTACACACACAAAAAAAGACTCAAAATTTATGGAAATACAGTTGGCCTTCTGTAAAATAATTTGAATGAATGAATGAATGAATGAATGAATGAATGAATGAATGAATGAATGAATGAATGATCACCATATACAGAGAGATTAACAAAGACGGAGGTTTTGATAAATGAGCGTCTGTGTGCTTTAGTGAAGAAAATGTGAATCTTCTGTGTCTGGAGGTTTAAGGCCAAATAGAAAAAGTTCCGCTTTATTTGGAGAAAAAAAAACCAAACAAACAAAAAAAAACAAAAACAAAACAAAAAAACAGAACCACTCATTTTTAATTGTTCTTCATGTTCAGGCTATCGAGGCCAGGAGAAAGTGATTATCTCTTGTTCCAACGCTAGTAACGAGATGTCCCATATTTACTAGTTGACTTTAAAAACCACACGGATTTCTGAGCTGCCCTTTCTCCGACACACAGTTTCTGAGTAAAAAAGAAAAACACCGAAAGAATAGTAATAAAAAATACAAGCACAAAAAGAATGAATGAATGAATGAATAAATAAATAAATAAATAAATAAATAAATAAATAAATAAATAAATAAATAAATAAATAAAAGGAACGCATCCATGAAGATATTACAAATATATTTTTGCTTTTTTGCAACGGACTCGTCTTGTGATCTTTCTGGGAACCGTTTTAGAAACATTTACCTTGTTCATCTGAGAAACGCTGTTTTACTCAGTTTAATCTGGTTAAAGTTCTCTCTGAGACTCAAAGTGTCTGATCGATCTGAACCACTCATTTTAATTAAAAACATGCTGGACTGGGAAGTGAGCTTATAAAGTTGAGAAATTACAATAAAAAATTTTTTTCTTATTATTTAAAGAACAATATATTTTATGGCCGTTGACTCTTTAGATGAGTTCTCTTGGGATACATTCCTGTGGTGGCTTATCATAATAAGGCACCATAATCATTACGGCCTGCGTAATGATTTTACGCAGGCCGTAATGATTTTAGCAGTTATATGGCCAGTTGTTAGTGACACTGCATGTTCATTAGAGCGGCAGCAGCTACTGCTACAACACTCAGCTCTGAAGCTCTAAAGCTGTTCCCAGGTGTGCGGCGGCCTTGAACTTGAGCTCAGTTGGCATCTGCGTGTCCCTTAGTCTGCAGCTCCCCCTCCCTGGTTGTCTCTTAGCATTAAACCTGACCTTGACCCCGGGGAAAGCCAGATCACCCCACAGCGCAGAGACGGGCTGTCTGGGTGGTTTGAATATACGCGCGCAAAGGTCGCCCACCCTCAGACATCCCGACATCAGGCCATTAAAACAGCTCGACTACTTTCGGTTAAAGCAGAAATTCAGACGTGGATTGCCATTTTCCAATGGATTGTAG